AGTTTTTCAACCATTCTTAAGAATAAACAATGTCATCAATCTCAACCATCTTTGAGCATTAAAAAATGAATTGAAATTTCTTTTTACACTTTTCTAAAGCATTCATTTTTCATTTTTCACTCTTCTAAAAAATTTTTGAGTTATTTATAATCAATCTATTATTCATATTGTTTATGATAATTAATCATAGTCATATCAAAGATGGTTGATACATTGATTTTAAATAATATAATTTAGACGATGATAAACATCGTCTAAATTATATTATTTATAATCAATATTTTTTATAATCAATGTATTATTCATATTGCTTTTTGATAATTTATCATGGTCATATCATTTATCATCGCCTAAATTATATTATTTATAATCAATATATTATTCATATTGTTTTTAATAATTTATCATGGTCTAAATGATATCATTTATAATCAATATATTATCCATATTGTTTTTGCTAATTTGTCATAGTGTCTAAATTATAAAACTTTATAATAATTTAAATTTAGGTGGAAGAAAAAAATCGAAGATTTCTTAATAATTAAACTTTTTTCATCCATAAAAGTTAGGTTAAAAAAAGATGTATATTTTTAAAGGTATTCGATTATGACAATTAAAGAACTGAAAAATAAAAACAATTACAAAGTGATAGAAATGAGTGAAACGAATAGAATTATCTTCGCATTTAAAAGTGTCAATAGTATATGAACATTTTATAAGTAGTAGAAAAACAATTATTACTAACAGAAAAAGTTAAAATGTTGATAATAATTAGAATGATAATTAATCACAATGATGAGTTTATTAGTAATAGTTGAAAGATTGTGATACAGTTAAACAATAATGCAGCAAAAAATATCTCATACTTTTTAAAAACATTTTGCAGTTTCCTCTTGCAGTATTATTTAGAATAACTAGACGTTTTGCTTTGTTTTCAGGATAAGAATGATAAGTCTTATCACCCGTGATTGTTATTTCTATTAATATGATTGTAATGTGATTTGTTATATCTATTAATGATTAATATAATTATCATATTGATTCATCTAATCAATAGCCCAGTATCTTACTGAACTATCTGCTAGGGCTTTTAAAAGGAAATATATGATAAACGGTTATCAAAAATATCCGATAAATTTAATGGTCTAATTAATTTATATGATTTTTCGTTTGAAGAAGTTGAACTATTAGCCATTTCGATAAATATTTCAATTTCCTTTTCTTGCTGTTATTATTTTATCTTTTACTTTCCAAACCAAAAAATATTTTGTTTTTATATAAAAATTGAATTAAAAAAAAATCTTAATTTAATCAAATTGCAAAACAAAATTAATGAATTAATAATTAAGGTAATATAAGGTAACATTTTAGTTGTTTACAATTTTAGCAATTATCATTTCCTATATTGGCTTCATGCAATTGTTAGTAAACATAACTTATAAACAATTCGAATATCTAACTAACTCTAATTTAATATATAAAAAAGCAATGGTTTTTAAAATTAGGTTTTTTCCTGACAAACATTTAATATCTACCAATGAAAATAATCCATCGTAACTTAATTAGATGATAGAATGTGGAAAGAAATTTATTGTTTTAAAAAAAGAAATATATTTTATAAGAGAGATATTCATTTCAAATATTCCGGTAATTGATAGATTTCAATCAATAATTTCTTATTTTGAAAGAAAAAAAAGCCTAATTTTAAAATATTACTAATTTAATCAAAAGTATTCTTCAATTCTTACTGTAAAATGATTAAAATTGAAAATGATCCATTTCAAACAAAATGTAATTTATCCTTCAACGAATAATTTTTTACATATTGGCACTTAACATTTACTTCTTTACAGCAATTCTTTTCATTTCGTAATTTTGAAAGAAATTTAGGATAAATTTCTTTTGTGTTCTGTTTATGGCAATGATAAATGAAAGCTTATCAATTTGATTACAATAGTTTTTATTAAATATTTTATTGATTACGATAATGCAATTTCCTGAAATGTTTTTTTCTCTTTGCCGTTAATAAGATGAAATATTAATTGATAGTAATTGTTAGATGAAATATTGATTAGAGATAATAAGATGAAAATATTAATTGGTAGTGATAAAAAAAAGAAATAATTATAGTAAATGTTCACTAAATTTTTTTAGACGAAATATTGTAGAATAAAATTTAAAAGAATGAAAACTTTAAGATAAAGCATAATTATAATATAACTTCTACTTTCGAGTTAATCAATAATAAGTATGGGTATATATAAATACTAAGTATATATAAAGTATTGATTTGTTGTAATAAAAAGTTTATGATATTCATTTATATAGGCTATTAAGACAAATAAATCAATGATGTTAATTCTTGACTATTGTAACGAAGTTAGTTGTTACTTCTCATTTACGAAAGATCATCAGATTATAGCCTGCTAATAATAGCTTGCTATCATCAGATTATAGCTTGTTAAAAATAAGAGAAAGAAAATGCAAAAAATAATCAATGATATCATTAATTTATTCTGATTAAATATTATAAGCTTGGAAATTTCAACTAATTTGATAGGTAATCGATTTTTACGAAGTTTTTTTTCCAGTGCGATATATCTATAAGTATGCTACCTGTGATGCTCATTTTCTTTCAGCCTTAGCAGTTTTGGTTAGCATTAATAAATTGACATTTAAAAGCTTAAAAATTTGGAATAATTTTTCTTCAATTCAATGATAAATGCTATATATCATTTTTTTCAAAATAAATAAATAAAATCCACAAACTGATAGCAAAGGAAATTTTCTAAAAATAATGTCAGATGTCAAATTTTTCTTTTCACCAAAAAAAAACTTTCTGTTGTTTTTTGATCTGGTTGATAGGGTCAAAGTTTAGATTTTGTTTTATTTTCGAAACATGCAACGATAAGTTTATTTGAAAAATTAACCACTTATGATTTCTTTTTTACATTATTGATAAGAATTTTATCAGAAAAATTATCTAATTAATCATTTTCAACCATCATAACTCACGCTGTAATTAAGCAAATAATTATTTTTTGAAGGAGTTCAACTTTTTGTTTTCTCTCTCTCTCTCTATCTATCTATCTATCTCTATCTATCTATCTATCTATATATCCATCTAACACTTATCAATTTCTTTTTTGTCAAATTCATAGTTTACTTTAATTTTTTTGTTTAGTATTTCAATTATAATTTATATAATCATCAAAACACGGAATGGTACAGAATTATGAAAAATAAATGCAATAGTAAAAGTAATACTATGCTAGACGTACGTTAAGTTCTATGCCACACGTACGTTAAGTTCCAAAAATAATAACAGTTCAAATAATTCATTATTATTTGAAAAAGTTTAAAATCTTTGATTGGTTGTAAATAATAAGCAAAAACGAAAAGAGAAATTCTTACGACTAAAAATATAAAAACAATTCAAGTATTATTTAACAACATCTGTTGTTAAATGTTTTCAGGAATTTTGTTATTAAATAAATTAAAAAGTTTAATTAATGATTTCGAACAATTTCATATTAGGTAAACAAATCCTTTCAAGATAATTGAAGTATGAGTATGTGATATTTTTAAAGAGTGATGATAAGTGAAACGTAATGTTTTAAGTAAAAATTTTATATTCTTATAGAATTCTATCTTAACTATAGCTTTTTTCATATTCATAACTGGCAGCAATTATTCATTTATTCTTATCTCAAATTATCATTAAGAAAATTTTTAGTGTAAAAGAAAGAAGCATATCGAGTAGGAATAAAAAATCTCTCCTGATTATTTATCCAAGAAAACGAAAAACAGGAATTTAAAACAAAAACTCATCTATCAGCTGGCAGAATATATCATCTCAAACTAGCAATTTTCATAGTTTCCGCTTGCATCAGTTAATGTTTGATATTAAATTTCTAAAATTGAATCTAAATTTTATAACAATTCATTCAATTTGTGAATTTGTTCATTCTTTTCTTATTGATTTATTGATTAAATTTCCGTATCTTATTATAGTTAAGTTCTAAAATTTGTAATTTAAAATTTAGAAATATAGAATTCGTAAAAATAAAAGTGAGGAAAAGGAATAAGATTTAGCATAGCTTTAATAAATTTCAATTTATATTTTACTTCATAACACATAGCATTCATTCTTCGATTGATTATCAGAAGAGTAGAAATGAGCTGGAGAGAATGAAAATCATGCTTATATGACTGATATACTTCATTATTTCATAAAACGAAAGATCTATAAGAGCTTCATATTTTTCCACAATCATTTTGATAACCAAACATTTCACTAAGAAGTATATATATATTTTTTATATGATATAGTCAATTTTACTCTCATACTCTGTTCAACTCATTAATATTCATATAAATCTCATTCATTCTTATCTTTTCAACAATTTTCAAATTCGCTTTTTTGCATTTTCTTTGTTTTTCATTTTTGTTTTCTTTTTGTATTTTTCCTCCTCAAAAATTCCCTCGAAGTAATTAACTCTTCGAATCAATCGATAATGTATCTTTCATTTAATTTTCACCATTTACTCATTAAAAGTTTTATTTTCATTTTACACTAAATATTTCATTCACTTTTTTTCTTTATCTTCTAAAGATTTTCATTTAGAATAATTATTTTGGATGATATACTTAGATTAATTCATTAATTGATAAATAGAATTGATTAATTCATCAATTGATAAATAGAAATATAAATTTTACAATCGCTGTTATCATGATATGTTTATAGTTTTTGTCGTATAATTCTTGTAACGTTTTTGTTTTGTTTTTTTTTCATTACTAATTAAATTACTGATTAAGTGTATTTAAGAAATATGAAAATTGCCATAATTTTAAGATAAAATATCAAATTTGCATATGCGTCTTACTAAAGTTTTAATGTTATTATCCGTTCCGATAACAATAATAGAGTTTATTTGCAGGAGAAAAACAAAATGCAATTAAAGAAGGATCAAAAAAGTTAAGAGAAAAAATTTAGAATGATTGAAGAATTATTCGATTCTAACAAAATGGCAAATGCTGTAGGAGGAATTTATATATTCATTGGAATTACTGGTTCATTATGCAATATGATAACATTGCTAATAATAGCAAGTTATCGGATATATCGCTTATCAGCTTATACCATTATGGCTAATCTTGCATTAGCCGATGCTATAATGCTCATTATTGCTGGTTTTGTTTGTGGCTTCAATATTATTCATCAAGTGCCTTTTCTCAACTACAATAATGATGCTAATAATTCTGTGGAACTTCTAAAAAGCAATAAATCAATTCTAAGCCTAAAATTTAGCAAAATTTTTAATCATAACGATACATATTCAATGATTACTTCTCCTCAAATTTTAAATATGAATGAAATTAAAAATGAATTATACAATGGAAGTCAATTTAATATAATTCTGGAAGATTTACATTTTTCCGTATTTTTGCTATCATTTTTTGAAATAGCCGCTTGGATGTCCGGAATAATAAGTTACGCATTATTGGGTATCAATCGTTGTGTTGCTATTTGCTTCTATCGTACACGCATTAAAGTAATCAATCGTGTGTCATCTGCACTTCTTGGCTCAATAATAGCATGGATTATCGGCATTATTGCAGGTTCATTCATCCTCTTTCATTACAATTTTCAGCTATGATATCAAACATCTTGAATTTCATTCACATATATACAAACAAATCAGGAAAACAATGAAAAAAACAGAGCGAGAGCATTTATAGAGAGATCGGTGTAAATAATTATTTATCAGAAATTTCAAAAATGGTTTTTAAAAGAGGAAATTATAAAAGAATTTTCGTTAACGTTGCAATTCTCAAGTTTTGCAACTTTCTGTGACACTTCAATAAAATGATACTGTGACTGATTCATGCTGGAAAATAATCCTTAAATCTCTTCTTATATGATATGAAATTAAGTGAATCAGTTGTAGTAAATTACAATTTCTCGTATTATTTATTCGCCTAATAATAATTTAGTTTTTTTTAAAGCATATATCGGGACAATGCCTGTACCACTGATAGGTATACGAATTGATATGTGGACAGTAAGTTTTTTGAGCACAGCTCGAAGAAAACCAAGTATATTTTACTTATCTTTTGTAAAAATATTTGAAAGGAAAGTTATCAGAATTTTAAGTAAAGATAACTTTTATGATTATTTCTCATGAGAATTGCAGTTGAATCAAAATTTGCAAATGTGAATAAAATTATTGATATCTCTTTCCATTCAAAATTATTTCTATACTGTTTAGAACAAAAAAAAAATTGAACCAGAAGTTATCTCTAAAATTATAGCTATTTATAGCAGCATTTATGATATTTGCAACATCCTTCAACATTGTCAGCATATTAGCACAATGGTTATGTTCTTTAATGGTGCTTATAAAAATACATAAAGTTCGACACAAAATTAATTGCAATAAGTTAAATACTGGCAGTGCAAAAAGATTTAAAAAACAGGTAAGCTGTCTTTATCGTAACATATTAATTATAATTCCCGGTAAAGTAACATTGCTAATATTGCTACTGCTTCTGCATTTTCTGCATGCATTATGCACTGATTGATGGGAAAAAAGCAAATGTTATATTAAGACTATAAAGGTTGATATAACTCAATTAATGAATTATACGTAGATTTAATCATTAACTTTTTTCAGGCTCGTTTAACATTTCAATTTTTTTTCCCATCTGTCATTTGTACTATTTCATCGATTATATTCTTTATTAAACCATTTATGGCTGATATATTGACTAATTGGCAGTTTATTTTTCTACATTTAGTAAGTTAATTTTTGTAAAATTAAATGAAATCTTTTTTTATCATTAATTAACAGATTTTTCTTATGGAATATAACTTACAATAACACTTGTAATTAATATTGAACAAAAAATTTTTTACAAACTATTCCTAATCCACCTAATTCGGTGATTTTGAAACGGTTGGTTTCAATTAGCCGACAATTAGGCTTAGTTGAAAATCATTTATCTCTCATTGTAAAGCAATAACATTTTCTCATAACAGTAATCTATCAATTTCAAATATTAACATTTATCAATTGTTACTTGAAGTTATATAAGTTGTAATGTAATTCTAATTTGTAGTAATTGAAAAGGAATTTTTCTTTTAATTCGTTAGAATTATTACTGCGCAACATTTAGTATAAGGTAGGGTATTTATAGGTTTGGCTGTGTAATCATATGTGCAATCCATTTATCTATGCATATTTTAATGAACGTATGCGTTTAACCTATGGTCAATGGTTAACATGCAGACCTTTACGAAAGTGTATCCATAAATTTGAGAAACAGTATTCGCAAAAACACAGGGAACCTCTACGAATATCGAAGTAGGATCTTAACAGAATTTAAATCAGAATAATTGTAATAGAACAATATCAATGAAGAAGACGTTGAGAAATAATGCTATGAAATAGGATTCTCTGATGTAAAAGGCAGAAGAATTAATGCATTTAATCTAATCTAGATTTGAATAGAATTTAGATAATAGAAATTAGAAAGAAGTTGAATTAACGATCCAAACAGAAATAATGAATTGAACTAAACTGCAGCATGGTATGTTGTCGACGACTAAATGCAGCTCCATCGATAGCAAGAAATTCATATTGGCGTGGTCGAATAAATCAAAGTGATAGTACTTTCATACAATCAAGCTTGCTAATGCTAAGTCGTAATTTTGAACAATTTTGTGAAATGATGATGAGTGTCAATAATGCAAATGAAAGTAGTGAAGGGTGGACAGAAAGTAACAGTGATACGGAAGCAGAACCAGTCACCGCAGCGATCTATGCAGTACAATCACAAACATCATCACGACGTAAGAACAATATTTATACTAGAAAAGGTCTCGAATTAAATCCGGTTGTTTTCGATTTGGGACGTCAAGCAGTAGAATATTGGGCTAATTTTGTTAAGAAAATAAGCCTTTGATTTACATATAACAGGCTTCTAAATTTGCGATTCCCTGTTATTTGCAATTTTTTAAAAATATATTCCGAACATGTATTAGTAATTTTCATTAAATGTAAAGGGATTATTGTGATGTTATGTGATTATACCATAGGATCGGGTAAAAGAAAGGATAGTCGACGAAGAAATGCTTATTGTTAAGCATATCCCTTTGTCATTCATATCTTTATCGCTATTTTAATATGCATGCTTATATAAAATTATGTTTATTGAATCAAAGTTAAATCAATGGAATAAAAACTGCATTTAATAAGTGTAAGTTGCACTTATCGAGTGAAATTTAATTAGTCAAATGGTAAATTATTCTTCTACATCTTACCGTAATTTGATGAGATGTCCAGTTTCACAGTTGTTACGCGGTATGGCAGATATTTTAAATTTCAAATATTCGCGGTTATGGTTAGACGGAAGATTGTTGCTGCACCGAGAGTCGATCTAGGATTTTGGTATGTTTGGGAAGTGCTAGGAAGGGTATGTTCAAAGGATTAGTTATAATAAGCTATAGCGTGGTTGGGAGCTCATGAAGTGAAAGTTTCCTGTGTAAGGAAATGGAGACTGTTTGAAAGACTTCTAATCATTTGCCGGATCACGAAAGAAATTTCTAGATTGTAGAGAAACCTATAATTGATGTAGCTGAGAAGTTGCAAATTTACAAATTTTAGTCTTACGGTTTGGGTATTATCGAATTACGTGGCTGTACGTATTCTTAAAAAAGTACGTATATACATGTAAACATATTATATATATCCCACTAGTTCAAACGTACGAAGCAGCTAATCATCCTGTATTGAAGGTCGACAAAATTCTGTTCTTCGGTGAACAGGGAACAGATCGAAAGCACATAGTAATGATTGATGCCATGTTCATTTTTTCCTGTTAACAGTTTTCGCTGTTCCATTCAAAATATATCATTCAGTCGAAATTAGATAAAATTGGTAGCAATATGTCCCTTTTTTGCAGTGCAAGAACAGTCTGATGAAGATTCTGACAAGGAGTCTGATGATTCCAACGAAGATCGATGGAGAAGACGTCAATTCAGTACGTTCCCTAACATCCACCTGACTTGTAAAAATCCCTTCTTTCTACGCTTCATTGTTTTGTGTATGTATGTAGATGTACATGCCTTTTCCCAGATTTTAGAAAAAAAAAATAAAATATAAGAGAATTCTAAAGATCCAGATAGCATATATGTCATACTACACCTGCTAATTCCACCCGTGTATTCCTTTTTCATTGCTTGGTTTTTGACATATTCAGAATGTTGGTAGCATACATGACTACACGTAAGAAACAGCCGCATATCATCTGAAACTAGCTTGCACTTATTTAATGCCTAATATACTCGTTGTCGATTACCGCGAACGTTGATAACAATAACATCTGAACTAAAGTGCTGTTTACTGCCAAAAATTAATGCATTTTTTGAATAGCATTGAAGTGAATTTGTTACTGCAACCGACATTAGAATTCCTGAAGGTTTTTGAGTTTTCATTGTACAAGCATTTCTATTTATTTGCACAAAATCATTTATTTAGTTCATTTCCAGGTATTGGAAAACGTGAATGCTTCATTTGTGGGAAGGGGGACGAATCTGAAGATACGGAATTTGTTCGTCGCCCTTCAATTAGCGTTGAGAGTAATTGCAGTGATGAGGATGCAGTCACTGTTGACGAGGATGTTTCTGCTTTCGGTCATAATAAAATTAGGAAATGCAGTTTCTCATCGTGCACTTTGCGATTCCACGAAAACTGCTTTTTGGTTTTTGCAGAAGGTCCTTATTCAAATCGTCCAAGTTTCTTACAACGAATTGAACTAATTGCTATCATACCGTTACATCATGTACTGATATATACGAGAAATTTTCAGGTGACTTCTTGCCAAGAATCCATATATTCGATAGACATGGTGATCTTTGTATTAATTTAGAAGATAGTAAAAAGTGGATATGTCCTCAACATGAATGCAATTTTTGTCAGCAGGAGCTTTTGCGAACACGGGCTTTTCAAGGTGATCGTTTTTGGCAGTGTTTTGATATGGTATAACAATATGTCGACTTCTAAAATCTAAATTTTTCTCTTTCGAGCCTCAAACTCAACATTTTGACAATATTATAAAAATGAGTGAAGACCAATTGCTCTTTTTATCGGTGCTCAAAGAAGTAGTCTTAAATCAAGCAGACAGAAAATTGCATGTTTATCTGGTACTGACAGATTGTATACCCTAAGATGCCTATAATAACTTACAGTTAGTTTCCAGGGAAATTTATACGGTGCGTCAAATGTGTGTTCGCTTGGCATCGTTCATGTGTCATAGTTGGTTCGCTGCATATAAATCGAAAACATGATCGCTACGTACTTTGTCCAAGGCATAATACTGTGAAACGTTCGTCAAAACGAAATATTCCATATTGCGTCAAATGTGAAAATTCTTTCGGTAAATTTTGCAGTAAAGAGAAGGAAAAGAATGGAGAACATTTTTTAATTTTCAAGGCTTGAATTACAAATTACGACAGAAGTTTCAAGTTTATGAATTCTTACATTCTTTTGTAGAAAATGAATATCAGAAAGTGGCGTGTGGCTCTTGCATACGTTCTTTTTGCCATAGCTGTGTTGCTGAACAAAATAAAACCAAAGAAAAGGAAGCCGAAAATACTGCATTTTTATGCGATTTTTGTCGATGCTTCGATTTTCCGAGAATTGGTGACTATGTTCTGGCAACTTACAAATCGAGGTAAAAGCCATCATTTTTTCCTTTTTTTATCCGAAATAATAATTTAATATTTTTTGCATTTGCAAATTATATGGGAAATATTCAGATTTTTGGTTTTAATTTGTGGAAATGAATGGAAATAAAATCATAAATTTTATCAAAGTAACCTTCATCTGATGCACTTGTTTTCCCTGGTCTTATTTGGTTGATATTTTGTTCATATGTTGAGCAGTTTAGTAGAGAGATTTATATAAAAGTTTATTTTTCAGCTTTTGGCCAGCAAGAACTCTCCATGCTGATTTATTACCAATATCGCTGTATTCTAAAAATAATTTGATTGAAAAACTTCGCAAGGTTTTGATATTTTTTATTACTGTATTTCAAGAGCCAGTTACTGGCCACATTACTCCGCAAAAATCTGCACTTTTTTTTAGATTTCTTATGTGACTTATTATGTTTTGTTTTAGCCGGGCTATGTGCTTGTACAGTGGGTTGAAGGATTGGATATTCCAAATTATGATGTCGTAACATGTAGAGATTTGGTACCACTTCCAAAGACACTGAGTTGTTCATTTTGGAAGCGTATGAAAGCACATGCAAAGATTTACAAAGGTTTTTTTTTCTTCAAAAATGCTTTATGTGTGCGCTATGTAGTGGTGTCACAAAACTGTTCTAGAAACAGTACTACACAGTATTCAAAATGAAACTTTGCTTGAATTATGCTTAGCGGGAGGTAACTCTTTGAGCTTGGAGGAATCTCCTTAGAATTCAAGAAGAATAATACATGAATTGTTAGTGGGATTTAATTTCAAACTAAAAAATTTTTTGACCACCGCTGTGTTTGTAAATTAATTAGGTAAGTGAAATTTTAGCTGCTGAAGCTATATACGCTAGTTCGAAAGCAGCGGTTGGTGTCAGGCGCCCAATTCCACGAGAAGTTATGGTAGAAACATTACCAAAGTATACGAGAATCAAGGTGCCTTTTAAATCAAATATTTATTTCTAGATTCTGTACATTACACTGTTTCACCATTTCATGTTTCATCAGCTGGTTACAAATAATTATTCAGAAACTAAACAAATTGCTTTTAGAAAGTAAGCTGTTAGTGAGGTAAAAGAATGAGAAGGATAGCTAAAATGAAGTTTTTGCAAGAATTTCCAGACTGTGAGAATTAGGATGTTGGTTTTCAAGAGAGGTGTAGTTGTATCATAAACTTCAGACAAATATAAACATGCGGCTAGCCAGAGCTTCATCGGACACAATCGAATTGGGTCATTGTGATTGCGAACCTATCAATGGAATGCGTTGTACTGCTTCCCATAATTGTTTGAATCGAATCTTGATGACAGAATGTCCTGAGGTTATTCTGTAGCCAAACTTTTTTATAAAGTCCTTGTTACTGTTGACTCAATAAGTGGCACTGCAAGTAGTTCAAGGTTTTGCAAAAAAGGAAAATTTTATAGGATTGTGATGCAACCTACTTCGAAAGGCACAATGCACATATAGGTGGTACAAAGCGACAGATATCGAAAAGAAATGCTGAATTGCTTGGTAGTGAAAATTTCCTTTTACTGCCGTCACAACAGATGTGTACGAATAATTTTTTGCGGCATCATGATATCAATAATGATAATTTATTTATGGAGGAAAAACCAACTAAATTGAAAGGTTTTGGCGCCTTCGCGAAGTGTGATATAGATAAAGTAAGACATCAAATAATATTGTTGCATCCTTAGTTTAATTCTTAAACATCGGTAAATAATTCAAAAATGAGTGAACTTATATCTGTCCTGATCGAAATGGATTCTTATTGTTGTATTTTAATGGACAATTACATCGAGAAGAAGGGAACATCAGATTTCGTTTTCTTGTAGCATTCAAATCCATTTTTAATTTTATATTTCCTTTTTAAATATTAACTACATTAACTTTTTTAAATATTAACTATATGAAATAGTGAAGAAGCGGAATCACTGTTACCGAAATAGTCTTTTAGGATACTGATTTGACTGAATACGTTGGACATGTGATGACAAAGGAGGAATATTTGGAAAAACTGCGGTTTCGTTGTTTATTTAATGATTTGGAGGCGTCATATTTTGGGATGCAGTTGACAAGTGGTTTTTATGTGGATGCACGAAATTATGGCAATATTGCTCGGTCGTTCAACCACTCATGTGAACCGAACACTAAAGTGGATGCTATAGTGGTGTGTACCTCCGTTCAGTACCTGGATTTTTTCAATTTATTACCACAGTTCTTATTAGGTTCTTTTGCAGGTTGATGGAATTTATAGACTCAAAATTTCGACAGTTAAGAAAATCAAACGAGGTAGTTTTTTTTTTTAAATTAATCGAGTCATTAAGATGTTGTATATTCGACCAATTTTTTATCACCGATTTTCAGGTGAGGAGTTAACCTTTGATTATGATACGGAAATTATTGAAGGCCTTGTGGGCATGAAATGCTTCTGTGGTTCGACAAACTGTAGACGCATAATTGGGGTAATTTGCTAATCTTTTGTTTTTCGTAATCTTTAATTGTTTTTCGTTCTCCTTTTCCCGCTTTCGCTGTATAATCAGATTTAAATTTTTAGAAAAAAAAGGCTGCAATTGTAAGAGGTCGCTCTGTATTGAACGAACGCATCAACAATAATAACGGAGGAGATGCTCATTCGGAAACAACCGGATCCGAGAGTTTCAATTTGGTGACGTTTCTTTCCATATTGTGGAAGAAAATCCTTAATTCTGAACTCATTATAAGTCTACTTATAGATTTGTGAAAATATCGATCATTCCGAACAAGAGTGTGCACAAAAGAAGCGAAGGAAATATCTCGACGGAAATAAAGGCGCAATAAAAGGTCAAGCTTGTAATCCGGATTATATTTGATCCTTTCATAATTTATACTACTTTGGAAAATTTCTAGATGATTCATGTAGTGACTTCTGCATTGTTTTGAAAGAAATCATACGGCAAATATTTTTGCTTTTCACATACAATATTCTAAAATGTTTTGTTTTGAATAAAATAGGGCTGTTTTATATATTACGGATTTTGCAGACTCTATGAGGATGAAAAGCAATGGTAAAAAGAAGCGACCACGGCAATTACAAATACGTAAATTTTGATAATTTCAGCACACATAAAAGCTTGCTGATGGCTTTTTCTATCATTTCCCATGAAACCATCATATAAATAACTTGCAGGTCTTTCTGGAGAGATTATTCAAAATGAAAATATTGGAAGTGAAGTTGAAAAGCACTTGCGGGTTTCCAATGTTTTTGTGAAAGAAAATCAATCAAGGAAACAGCAGTTGATTGACTTAAAGGATGGAAATTCTCGACACAAATGCTTAAACTGCCAAAACTATTAGGAATTAAATTTAATTTCTCTTTCGAGATTCCTTCGAAACACTTCCTGGATTCTTGCTTGGCTTTTCTAAAAATTATTCACTTTGTTTAATAAAATTAATTAAGACTGTGTGTCTGTAAATGATAATGAACTCCCGAAGGCTAATGCTGCGCAGATAGTAAATAATGAAAAAGATCGAAAGGAAACGGTTCATGGCTAGTATATTAGATATTTAATTTTCTTAAATGTGTCGGTGTTTTGAGCGTCATTATTTTACTGTGTATAAAATTATTTCTATTATGGTCAGGAATGCATTCCAGTATTGTTTTGTTTTGGTTTTTAAATGTCCTGCTAGGGTTATTGCTGTGTTTTCCATATGTTGCACTTTTATTGAATTTCGGCGCGTTGACTAATGGCTAGAATTGAATTAATATTGTTTTGAGCATGAGTTGACGCGATTAATGAGATATCTCTTGTTTGTTGTTCTGCATTTTCAAAGTTCTTGTGATTTGCTGTTTTAATTAGCGCACAAAACTCATTTATTGCCTTACTCGTATTACTTTTATCGGGTTGATGGTGCTGTATTTATACGATCTAATATTATGTGTCTTTTTATAATATTGCTGTTTTTTGAACATGAAGTGATTGTTACAAATGCGAAACTTTTTTTAAATGTGAGAAAAAGTGATTCCTGAACAGTTTATTTCGGTCGTTTTTTGCACTATAATATTTTAAATTCATCATGACGCTTTTAATTCGTATCCATGCAGTTTTTTTTTTACTAATTTCATCCGCCATATTTTTTGATATGTAAAAGATAATGCAAATTTACTGTAAGCATATTAGTGAAGAAATAGTGAACTTTAATAGGTTTTCTGCAAAGATAGTTTTATTAATTCAATGCAAAGTGTTTTACATAGTAAGAGATGGAAGTGGATAAAGCATACAGTGAAGCGAAAACCAAATTTTGCATGTAATGCAAATGCAGTATTCCAATGGACATTACTTTGAACAAGAAATGGATTTTGTAAAGTAACAGACTGTAATTTACGAGTATTGGGTGTTATCCTTTAATTGATCACTTTTCCCCAGCAATTTTTTTCCATTCCATTCGGCTGAAATTACCAATTTTTAAATCTTTTTTTTTTTAATTTAAAGAGAGGGTAACAAATAAGGGAAAAACCTAATAACCATAAAGTAATTTTGATCTTTTGCCTTTGTATCATACAGCAGTAATTTGGCTGCCCTTCGATCTCTGTGAAATGTATCTTTCCAAGGAAGTGTACACTTCATGTTGGTCGCTTAAAAAACATGATGAAGCTTACTTTCCAAATTTGGTTCAATCGCATCAGATTCAGAACTGTAATCCGGTTTCCTCCATGGGTTCTGTAAGCGTCTGATATGCATGAAAATATTTTTTCCAATATCTTTGTATTAATATATTCAAATGTATGAAAAACTTGCGGGATTATTTATTCCGCAAGTTTTTCATTCGAATGACATCTTCGATTAATTCTAGTGCTATGGGAAGTAATATTGAATTACAAATCAGAAATGATACAAATATTCCTTAAGCTAATGTTGTAATAATAACTTGACAAGACGGACAATTAAATTCCAACTATATTACTTTAAAATAAAGCGATAACACAAATTTAGTAGGGCATATTTCATTCCAAAATAATGAAATTTTATGTCAGAAGGTAAATTTTGAAAGAATTTCACTCAGCAAGAAATGATATTTTTGAAACTGGGATATATCTTATCATATAGAACAGTCCCCGGAATATATGCATTGTGAATTTGGAATTATGTGGAAAAATAGAAAGAAAAGAAATATCATGTCATTATCATTCATTGGTAATAACGGATGACTCTAAATAATTGTGATCTTCCACTTCCTACAAAATCATCCCTTTATTAATTATTTCTAAAACAAGCCGCAGCATACACTGCAAATACAGGAAAAATACGGTATGACTAGATGAAGAAATCGCTGGATAAAATGTGATATAAGTTTGTCAATATAAGATTTAACTATATATTTAACGATTTAACGATTAAAGATTCAACAATGTAAAATTTAATTTCAAATCATTTGATGACCTCAAAACTCATGATTTGAACTTGAAATTACTGATGATCTCAAAAATTAAATCATTCGATTTATCAAGAAAGATGTACCATAAATGATTCCTTGAAGTCTCGTCCTTTTTCAAATTTTATTTCCCTTTTTTGATGCATTTTATTTTCCACATTAATTGCCGTCTCATTTTTTTTATCCTTATCATCTTCCTCGCTGCTGCTGCTACTATCAATTCCTCTATCTTTCTTTTCTCCCATTTTATGTTCTCGTCCACGTTCTGTAAAGTTTTACCATTATCACTTACAACTGTTATCCTCTTCTAACATTAACAATGAATACTTTTTATCAATTTCCATCTTAAAGTAATTAGAATACGTGTTTTCGAAATATCGATGAACATATAAAAATATCTCAACAATGGATGTACTGAATGAAACTAATCGAAAATTTGAGTCAACACCAATTAATTAAACTTCATACCATGGTCTTTGTCTTTTCTACGTCTCTCTTCATCATCATTTCCTATAAAATTTATAATTAATCACAGATATTCATGTTTCACTCATAAATTACAGTACCCTCTCAAAAATTAGAAAAAAAAGTTGCACCTGAAGAGGATGAAATTTCCGATCTGTCGCCATGACTAGTTTTCTTTTTTCGGCCACCCTTACTACGTCCTGCATCTATTTGCCATAGTAATATACCGATTATCAATGTCAAAACAATTACTTTAATATTCATCGTTATACGTTGCACTATAAATTACTCATTATCTGATTAAATTTTTGCAAAGCACTTCAACCTTTCAAACTTGTGATTTTCTAAACAGAACCAGTGAATAATGAATGGACAAATTATATAGACTATATTCCATAGACGAAAATATATATTTATATAAGTTAGAAAGATTATTTATTTTGTAAGTATTTTTTGAGAAGCAATGAAAAATTTGCAAACAATAACTGAAAAGTAAAATAAATAGAAATCTTAAATATTCCAAATATTGCTTTTATTGAAATTTAACAATATGAAAACAAAACAATCATGTAAGATACTGTACGATACGTAAGATATGTATGTAAAATACTTATGTAAGATAAGTATGATAATTTTTCATGAGAACATATAAATTCACGATAATAATTAATATCTGAGGTGAAAACAATGTAAGCTTAAAAATTAACTTTTTAATAGCTAATAGAAAAATGAAAAATGATTTAATATTAATAAAAAAAGAAAGAAAGAAAGAAGCAATGATTTATTTCGAGAATGATAAAAGTAGGAGAAGAAAAAAGAATTTAATATTAAAAATTTATGATTGTATTTCTATCCGAACCATTTCTCGATCATCATATCAAAATGAAGAATAACAAAATTATACTGACATTTCTTTCAAATCATTTCTTATTCTTCTTTCTTGACTTGAATAAATCATAACAATATTATACTGACATTTTCAATAAGATTGATGAAAATATCTCTTCAAAGAAATTTGTCTGATAAAATATGTTTTGGTGATAAAACATTACCATTGTGAATTTATATTCAAATATGAATATCATTTTAAGAAAACAAGACCTTATAACGAAATATGAGAAATATTCAATAAGATCAATGAATCAGAAATGTTTATGGATTGATTCTACCACGAAATGAAGTAATTTTTATTCTAGAAGTAAACTAATTGAAATATCATTTACATCGATAATACGGTATAAAAATTGTTGAAAGGCTATATAAAATTCATAATTAATTACTTCCATGAATTCCTATAAATTATTATTATTTAAAATTTTAATTTAAGCAATAAAACAAAGGATAAATAGGTAAAATTACTATTTGAAAAAAAGTTAGTATGTTATTTAACTTAAAGGATAAATGCCAATTGAGTCAGTTTTGGAAAAGAAAAAGCAATTGTTTAGATTAGAATTGAAACGAAAACTGTTGATTCTTTATGAAGAAGCAACAAAGACTGCTGCTGACAAATGTCTTGAAATAACAGCTTCAACGAAAAACGATGAGTAATGAACAATGATAAATCACCTTATGGCACACACACACACATACACACACACACACGTGCACACGCATACGTACACATACACACATACATGCATGCAGACCATCCCACTGCTATCTTCCCTCAATTTTTGCTAAGTTGGATTTTTTCAAAACTTCTCAAGCATTTTACAATTTTAAACCTGCGATCTATATTAACCCAATCTTTGCGCTTTTTTTTCCGATAGAATCCTGTCACCTTGCATTCACAGTGTAGAAGTTAAAAAGCTACTACAAATAGGAAAGCTTGAGCTCAGTCCTTTTGTATAAGATTAACCAATCTGACATAGACTCCACTTAAAAATACTTTTTTATTTCTTTTTTGGAAGACAAGGACTTCCATCATTTTATCGTATACTTTATTTCATCAAATATTTGCTTTTCTATTTGTGGCACACCGCACTTGTTGCTTTATTTGATTCTCTGCTTGAATCTTTATGTGTCAGTCTGATTTTTATTGCTGCAACATTGCAAAGTTTTCATTATGCAATACTGAAAGTATCATAAAAAGAAACATTACACATCTTCGTACTGTGCGTGAATCATATATTCACAACAAAAAAAGTGGAAAAAACTGGAGCTCGCTGAATTTTATTAGCGAAAAAACAAATCTGATTTCTTCCACATATACCCCGGATTTTCTGAGTGAGAAATATAACAAAATTCTAAAAATTTGCAAATTAGATTTATAATTTAATACTTTCAGTCTAAATAACTATTTTCATGGACAACCAAAAATAAGAGATCTTCGTGACTGAAGCTTATCGCTCTTTCTTCGTTTCTATATTATTCTGAACTGTTTCAGTCAAGCTCTGTTGGTCTTTATCATTAGACGGTTTGGCATCCGTCAACTGCTTCTGTGATTCTTTTTCACCGGTTGGGTCTTCCAAAGAAACACCATATTCATTAACTCGCGTTGGATCAACTCGATAAATCCACCTTTGATAAATATATATCTAAATAAATTACAATAAATTATAAATATAAATATATATCTAAATAAAGCAAAATGAATTTAAATGTCAAGTATTTCTTCATAGATCAAAAAGTTTAACAACAAAAAAATAAGGGATTAAACAGTTGGAAAATCATCTTAGGCAAAGGATGCTGTTGTTCACGAGAAAGTTTTGGCACATTAGCATATGTTTAACCTATAGTCCAAAAGAATTCAAATTAATTTACTTCCGAAGATTTCTCTAAAAAAATTCAACGCTGGATGTTTGTAAATGACTGGAACAATATATTTGTTATTAAAAAGTTGGCAACCAACCAAAAACACAATATCGTCTCGAAAACATCCTAAGCGATACATTGTTGGCATTCTGATGACAAATGCAAAGAGATCATCAATGAATGTATTGATGAATTTGTATGTTAACATGCGCCAAGGCAAATGAGCCACAGATTTCAGCTTGTAATTTATAAAAAGCTGAAATATTCAACATGTATCTCATCTTTCCTTTGCAGCTAATTTAAACATATATTTAGGAATACATACCAAATACTTTTTCGCAAAAAAGGTAAATTTTTGACTACAGTAAGAGCCAACCTGTGGTGTCATCATAATAAATCCAAATGTAAGTAAAAAACTATACAGCATACTCAGTATCCAGCTATACCAACCACGCTGTTCGACATACATAAGGGAGTACACTGCGTAGCCACCAAGCAATGGAAATAGCACCCATGACAGATATTTGAAAGCTAACTAAAATTATATCAAAAAAATTCAATGGCATAACATAAAAATATACAACAAATTTATCACACCAAACTTTCTGCAGGTATGAATAAAAAGTTAATTTTCTGCCTAAAAAATGTTCCAAATCTTCACTTCGACAAAATTGTCACTATGAATAAAGTTATACGTTCCATCGAGAAAGTGAGTACAGCTGTGATTACCATAATAAATTGTAGTTGCAGGAACTAACCTGGTCATACTGCTTTGTGTCTGATTCAACATATGATCCCTTATCGGTAAATGTGACCTTTGGTAAGAAACCAAATAGTTTTTGAGTCCCATCAACCTTAAACGGTATTTTTAAAAAATAAGCAATGAATTTCAGTCAACTGGAAGGAACATAATATCGATTACGGTAAGACTAGCTGCGAGCATTTATTCATGTTATATCCGTCAGCTTTAATTTAAGAGAAAGAAGACAACGCTGTCTGTAAATTACAACGCTGAAAATCTTACATTTATAAATTACAACGCTGAAAATCTTACATTTATATTGACACATTTTGGTATTTTCCATAACTCAATCACTAAACCAATTCCTACAGACATTTTGATAATCCATGAAGCATCGTTGTCGCAGATATACAAGAAAACGATAACAGATTGGAACACACTGAATAAAACTGAGCGAACAGATAAGCCCTGTAAAACGACATTTAAGAAAAAAGCAACATCTAAAAAAAATTTAGGAATTCCGCAACAGAAAATTCTCACATACCTCCAAGCTTTTTCGTGATCTCCAAAACTGGATGTCATTTTTAAAAGCCAAAAACTCGAAAACTGTGTGTAATAATGAAACGGTAATTGTCAGTCCTGGAAACATCGAAATTTTCTGCAAATAATTTCCACCAAAAATGATCTATCAACAAAATAACGGTTTACTTCTCCAAAAATGAAATGCCTAACCGAGTAATACCGGACTTGTCTCCAGAAGTGCTTGTTTTATTGAGTCCTGGTCATCATCCCCATCCTCAAATAGCTCACCACCGAACATCTGTGACCATTTCCCACGCATCTAGAGGAAAGCAAGTAGCAAGAAGTGTTAAGAATTAAAGTTGAGAAAAAAATGTCGCAGCAAAAATAGAGATGGAATGTGGGTTAAAGGACTGACGCACAAAACTATTACAGTTTTGAACGCTAATTACTCACCGTACTTTTTAGCGCTTTATGCAAGCCAAACAAAAATTTTTATTTGAGTGACTGAATAATAAAAGCGCAGAAACTTATTCTGAAGACTTTGTGTCATGCACGAACCAACCTGCTGTGATGCATATAGCTGCCATTTAAATAATGATATTGGGGCATACCGGACAGATAGCTTTAGTTCTTGGACTGAGCTATTTATTAACATATAATCGGCCGCCAAGTTCCAGTAGTCATTGAAAAAGAATATGGGCTTGTAGGTATTATCGATCGGGTCAAATTTTACAGCTTCATCAAGAGGAGATGGCAACGAACCTGCAAAACAAATCGAAGCTAATCTAATAATAAACTAATCCGGAGGAAACAAGGCAACAATTCGATTCTCCTTACTTACAAACAATTTCATACAAATTGCTATTAAATTATGAATTCTCTTGGATGACTGAAACGTATTCAAAATAGCACCTCTTTGCCACGCCGTCTGATCATCGACAAGACTAATTGTTAAATTTGGGTGCCAGTAATTGAGTACTTCAAAATTCATCACTTCAGCCTTCTTTTGTTCTTCCTCGGTCTGCTCGGTCTTGCCAGTTAGTAAATTTTGTGTTTTTTTGTAATATTTTTTTTTGTATTTGTTAAGTTGTCGTACATTATATAAAACCTGAAAATTACGAACAAAGAAACTACTACTAGCTGCAAATTTTCAATAAAGACGTGTAATATCCCAAATATTTCGTAATGTTAAATGAATTTTAATGATGAAATGATTAAATAAGCTTAAAAACTCGATTGAATATAC